AAATTTCAAATATTTTAAACAGATTTTGAGTAGGAACCTATATCTTTTTTACCATCTGTAAAACTGACGAAGTGGCAACCATCTAAAGAAGGAGAAATCAGCTGACACGGAGCTTATAGCTGAGGTTAGTCAAGAACGTAAACCTACCGGTACCTAACCCGAGTCAGCTGACGCAATCTGTCTTACAAAAGCGCCATGTAAATGAAAACTCAACACCGCAGAATTTTTCTGTAGTTGTAGCCCGTGGCGCAGAAATCTGCGGAATTTAGATTTTTCCATGTCAGCCGATTTCTTCCTTCTTGAGATAGTTGCCACTTCGTCAGGTTTGCAGATGGTAAAAAAGTTATAAGTTCCTATTCAAAATATGTTTTCAAATATTTGAAATGTACTATTGAATAAGATTTTTTTGTTGTAAACTAAGTAGTTTATATTTAGCTACAATCTATTATAGCACGAAAAATTTTAGTTGAATAGGTAGGTTTATGAAAAAACATATGTCGATAGTTTTGAAAATAATATCGAAAACTATCGATGGTCTGACTATCGATAGTTTTGCACCTCTAATGGCTTGGCTGCACTTATCCGCCGATGTGCACACTGCAAGCATCAACACAAAATGAGGTTGTTGTTTTTGTTGCCAATGCGATGCTCGCAAACTTCGCTACAAACGACGAGCATGCTCGCTGAAAATCAAAATTTTTTGATTTTTCGCGAGCATGTTCGTGAACCGCCATATAAACGACGAACAAGCCGAGAATGTGCGCGCACATGTTCGTCGTGTGGAGCCACTGTCTTCTCTGTCGCTTCACTATGTGATGCCACATTGAAAAATTTGGGTTTGTTTTTTATTTATTTATTTTGTCGCTGTTATCCGAAAATATCTTGTTGCTCTCTTTGTCGCGTCACTATGTTATATACCTTATATACCAAAATAGTTTGATAAGGTGATAAACTTTGGCTAAATAGATTTCCATACTAAGTTTGACAGTTCATTTATCAAAATGATAAATTCTTCATTTTCGTTAGCGGCAGCACTCTATGGCTGCATTTCTTTATTCATTCTGAACGTTTGTAATAAACTTTTTTGTTTATTTATTCTTTAGAATGTTCTCGATGATACGTTGACGTGTACTTCAAACGCATTCTGTTTATTCCGGCTGTGAAATGGGGTTATCCGGAATGTATAAAGAAACGCATTCTATATGGTAACACACATGACATTCTAACAACGCCGTTTTCAAGGCGAATTTATATAAGATGATGTTACTAGCTCAGCTGATTTTGTGTATGTGTTTCGCCGCACGGCTTCTGATATCAAATTGAAAAATTTTGTTTGGATTTCTACACACGCTCGTACAGATTTTGACAGTTTATGCCGCCAAAGCAAAAACAAAATACATGTAAATTTTTGTTTTTGTACTCCTGCTATCACCTTATATTAATTCGCCTTGGCCGTTTTATTAAAAATTTAGTGGCGGCCGGAACAGTTGAACGTAGAACAGGGTGTCCAGATTATTTAAAAAAAACGCCAATTCTTTTTTTGTTAATAAAATTCATGAAATCGACTTAACAAACCTTTTATTTTGTAAATCAGATCTTTTTATAATATTGTTTTTAAGACCAAAAACGAATATAATACCTTCAGACATTAATAATAAATAACACAAATCACTTATAAATAGTTATGTACAAAAAATTTTTTTTTTGAAAATACGCATACTTTTTAAAAATATTTGTTTTGACGCATTTTATTAAATTTATTATAACTCTTATTAATTGATTAATCGCACAATCCGCTTTTAAGAGCTCGGCGCTAAAAATTAAATAAAAACCTATAATAAGGCGAGGTAAGCTATACCAAAATTTCATCAAAATCACCTATAGTGTCTGAATGATTTACATATCTGTTGTTGTCATAAATTGAGCTATTCAATCCTGATGTGGGTCGCTGTTTGATATTGGAAACGTTTTGCAGCAGAAACTATTAGCCTTTATATAACACTTTATTCGAACTATTGAATTAAGACTTTCCAACCTCATCCAATTTTGAATCTTAGTCTTTGTTCAATTCATTACGGAAAAAACGCTCTCAACAAAGCATGTGAGTGCGGCAAGGATAATAATACGAATTTACTTATATTTCCAAACATTTTATTGCCTGTTGCTGTTTTCACTCCGTAAGCAATTATCCAAAATTCTTCAGATTCGGATGGAATGGTTAAAAATTCAGTTTCCGCTGATTTTCTTTCCTTCAAAGTCAAATAGTCAATTGGCAGGCCCCTGAAACTCGCCCCCTTGTGATTCACACACTTTTCTGGTCATAAAATCAATGCTTTTTTTTTAAAGTATTTAATTATCTAGGTAATCTTTTCAAAAGTTCTTTNCCCTTGTGATTCACACACTTTTCTGGTCATAAAATCAATGCTTTTTTTTTTAAGTATTTAATTATCTAGGTAATCTTTTCAAAAGTTCTTCGATTAGGGTGATTAAACATTTATGACAGTCTTTTAATATGCTTCTTAAGTCAAGTTTTTCACGCAATTCATTAGCCTCTTCTGTAAAATTCTCGTGGAAAACTAAGTTTTGTATATTTTTATAATTGGAAAACGCCCTAATATCCAAAAAAATCGCCAAATTAGGGCGAAATCCGCTAATCTGGACACTCTGCGTAGAATGAAGAAAAACCTCAACCAGAGTTTACAGCGCAAATTCTGCTTTTATTTCTTGGTAGAGGTCGCCCAACGTCTCTCACCTTTTGTACACTAGATGCCGCCGTGAGAGTATTTCCTTTTTGCTTGGATGAAAATTCCCGGTGAAGAAAAAATAGCAAACTTCCATTCAGTTTTGCAGAAAATCCCGTCGCGTTTGGTCTTGTATGTTGGAAAAATTAAATTAAAACTGGCAAAGATGGAGGTGATGAAAACAAAGAACTCGGTAAAATAAAGTGGAAATCATCGAAAAAAAAACAATTGTTAAAAGTGAAAACAAGTGAGAAAACGGATGAAATTAAAACAGAAAGTGAACTGCAAATTTATAAGTTTGAAGTATCAAAATCCGCACCTATTGAATACTGCCCCGCTGCCTATAGGTACTTAGCTGCTCAGTGGTAGTGGTGTGCTGCACTGAGGAATTTCTGGGACGGAAGAGCGGCGTAATATCTGACGGAGTCGTAACAAAATGTCGGACGGCAGCCCAGTGCGTGCGCGACAAAATTGCTGTCGCCTCTGCTTGGCTCCCGGCAGTGAATGCATATCCATATTGAATAGCTATGCGGCTGACAAGGAACCGTTGGCTACTAAGATACAGAACTGCGTCAGCATCACGGTGAGTACATCGCATTTGGCTGCATATATATATACACGTACACATAAATGAACCGAAAAGTATGTGACCCAATCAATCATTGATCGAGTTGGCTGGGTCGCATCCAGGTGTTTATGTATNATATATATACACGTACACATAAATGAACCGAAAAGTATGTGACCCAATCATTGATCGAGTTGGCTGGGTCGCATCCAGGTGTTTATGTACATTTTTTCCATAAAGGTATATTGACTGGTAAATATAATAACTAATACCATTAAGAAGTCTGCTTAAAGATGTGATATCAATCATAAAATTGCATTGGAATAAGTTTAAAATGATATTGAGGTTAGGATGAGTGGCAATCAACTACAATGATTGCGACTGATTGTGCAAGTTTGCGTCCGTGCTCCCACATGTCATACCACGCCATGCGGAATTGCCAAGTCACCATATTGGTTAATGGCGTTTGTTGGTTAGTTGCTGGCTGATGTGGCGTTGCCAGCCCGTGAGCTCTGAGCAAGCAATCAATGATTCGGTTTGGCCTGCTGCTATACATATATGCGCGCGCTCTCTTCCGCTACCGCTCAGCGCCTCCTCGGTTGTGACATGACTTAGCTGGCATGCTACGGCGTATTATAATGTTATGGCGTTGTGTGGAATCGATTCCATTTCGGATCCGGATTCACAGCACTCACATCGTTATCGCATTCGCGTTGACTCACAAAGACTTGTGGTTGGTTGGTTGCTTAGTTGGCTGTTGTTGACTGTATAACTGAGTGGCTGAATGGTGGTTCACTGTGTGTGGATGTAGTTCTAGCTGTGGCTCCGCGCTGTGTGTGACTTCGAGGCGTATTCGGTCGGCGGCTACGAGCGCTGCTATAGCTATAATGATTGCTGCATTCATCGAGGCAGTCGTCAGCCTGAGTTTTGCCAGATTCGTTGTTTCGACGACTCGTTGCCTGGTGCTGTTGCTAATTGCCCGACGAAAAAAACTTGCCACCATTTTCTCGACGAGAACCGGATGGATGAGCAGCTGGAGCAGCTGTTTATTGAAATAGATTTGCTTTTGTTTCGCAAATTCCTCATCGATTCCACTGTAAATGGCACGCATAGTTGCGTAAACCTTTTTTGGCTTGTGGGAAGGTTCTTAAAATACATAAAATACACAAATAAAGTATGTACTACTTGTTTGCTAAATTGATAAGTGATAACATGTGCTGAAGTGGCTAGCAATGGGTAGNAAAGTATGTACTACTTGTTTGCTAAATTGATAAGTGATAACATGTGCTGAGGTGGCTAGCAATGAGTAGTAGTAAGGTAAGTATATTTATGTTTTTTTGACAAAAATAATTTTTTTTTGCTAAAAGGAACAGATTAATTCATGCCCATTTCCCCCAGCACGTACAACGCACATACATATATACATACCTAGAAATATTTAGTCAAGCCGATCAGACGAGGATGCGACCTGCGTTTTACTATAGAAACATTACAACAACAAAGCCGGTAATAGCTACATGCACAACAGTGCACAGTGCAGAACAAGAAAACGCGAGGAACAAAATACAAACAACGAAGGTGTGGGTAAAGTAAAAAGGAAAGAAATATTATTTCCATTAAAACTGCATATGTGCATAAAAGAAAAAAAGAAAATAGAGAAACGAAAACAACTTGGAGAACGCTAATTTGGAAGTCATGGAATATATACACAGATGATTGCTCCTGATAAACACTGAATAACCGTACGTGAAGCTACGGTTCCATCACTAGCTAGCTGGACCGCCACCATTGACAGTCACTAAAAAGGTAGCTGATGGCCGTCTGGCAATGATTACTTCGCTGTCTCTTTCTGGCCAGCGTCCGGCGCGCATGGTAGAAGTGCCTCAAGTATATAATAGTTGCCATTTCCTTTGCAGACGTACTGTGCTGTGCTGGGAATTGGCGGCACCCATGGTTGTATTGAATGCACGGAAATCGTGGTGGCTTCGTGGTTGTTGGCAATTGCGTTCGTTCCGTAGCTGTTATCGTCGTTGCTGTCTATCGATTTGCTCACCATCTTGGTACTTTACTTTGTGTTTCAAATGAATTCATGCTGATAACCTGTGCAATTTGAGAGTCCATATAAAATAATTAACGTTGGTATGTACTTGCAGCTGTTGTACATACACATAAGTAGCTACTGGCTAAAAGAATCGAGAGCTAGAGCGTTGGGTACAAGTTAAAATCATAAGAGCAACAGCACTACCTAGTGGAGTAACCAAGCAGTTTCACCTTGGGAGTTGCATAACATGTTTGAGCAGCTGCCAACTGCCACGATTTGTAAAGCACGATTAAGTTTGGACTGTTGATGAAATCATTTTTAGGTTATGTGTTCCATAGTCACAAGTTGGTGTTTTTCACTCCATTTTCGTATTGCTCTTTTGGACAGGTAGTTGTTTCATGTCGCAGTATTTTACAAATATATAATACATATCGAACGCAAATTTTGAAGGCGTTTTTATCGAGTATTTGATATTTTGGATTAATACTTTTGCAGTGACAGCCTTCCATCTCCATTGGTTTTTAGTTTTGCACATACAAATGTACATATGTATGTATGTATATGTGTATATGCTGTGTCTTACACAAAAGTTTAATTTACTATTACTGTTTAATTACCAACTATGTATCATTATTACTTTACAGGCAGTAAATGTTTAATTATGGGGGCGCCTGACCTTGGTACGTCCCAAAGTCGCACGAATTATAGCTAACATCTCATTCCATCCCTAGTGTATATAATGGACGCTATGCATAAAAATATACAGCAACTCTGTTGGCAGATTGTGATTATCCAGTCACTAACGCTTCCATCCAGTGAATACGATATTCAATCGCTCTTTCATTGCTTTTTTGTTTGGACATACTGTATCGGTAGCGATTTTGCGACTGGATAGTGCTCTCTAGATAGTGGAGCTCTGTCAAATTCTCAGATTTGCTCAGAATCTCACCCCGGTAATATTTTTTAATTTCCTTGAAATTCTTAAACTATCGTCGAAATTTTTTTTTGGCTTAGCTCGCTAGTCGACCGACTAATTTCAGACCATTTACGGGGTTTGCAGCCGTAATGTTTGATTGGAACCGTTACCACGTCAGCGGTTTCATGAACTCACCCTCTTAACGCTAGTTGTGACGTCGTCATCGTTTTTAGTTGTCTGTTGATTTTTGCTTATTCTGGCTCACTAGTTAGTTGTACTGAAGCGCATGCTCGTATGTGTGTGCATAGAATCGAGCTAGATCGTTGCTTATGTGGTTAACATGTGCTATGGAACTTTGGCAGAATGGCTTGCTGGCATTTGATTCACGTGGTTAATTTTGAATAGAATGGAGAAAACACACATGGCCATGCAAATATAAAAAAATTATCAAGCACTACTGCTAAAGCGAAACTCTTTTACCAGAAATTCGTTCCCCCGGCGGTCGGGTCTACGTAACCGCAAGAACCCAGATTTATATCTGGCCAAGGACTATCACTCTAGCAACACTCCCCGAAAAACTCTTTTTGGAATTTGTATGCTGTTACAACAACAACTAGAAATAATTCTGGGTCGATCTGTTAGCCTACATTCAATTATCGTATATTATATTGTTAACAATTTAAAACACCAAATTCCCCAAAATTATTTTGTTTTTATTGTTTGCCGTAATATAAAACTTATTGCTGAATAAAGTGCTCAAAGCCTGAAAAGCGGTGGACACCTGAAAAGCATTTAATGGACTTGCGCTTCAAATTCAGACATCGCGCCATTAAGGAAATCTTATGTAGATGCTATCCAAAGCGCCTTTGAAATCGACAAGTATATGGTGTGTCGAAATTAACTTCGCCGGTCTTTTCCAATATTTGGAATATCTCGTCTATGATGGATTTGCCAGGTCTAAAGCTACACAGATGAGGTCCAAAACGGGGTTAGATCGCCGAAACAACAGCCCTTGGTTGGGTAAAACCCGAGTCATTCCGGCACGTAGAACCGGCTGCCGTGGGAATGCGAGCGATACTGTACTTTGGTTCGTTGAATAGTGCTCTCTGAGAGCAGGTGTGAGAGTCTAGTGGGGAATACATTGGCTGTCTGTTGTGACTGTAGCTTATCGACGTTCAGCTTTTTTTTTGCTGGGTACTGGCCCGTTGTATCTTGGCTGCAAAAAGAAAGTAGGCCGAGTCGATGTTTGGCCCTCCCTCTGAGTATGCTTACCTATGTCTCAACACTTCCGTCTATCACAATATGATCCATGCTTCCTCGTTTTTCAATGTGGAGACAGTCCAGTAGCTTGATGGCTCCTTTTATTCTTGAGCCCAGTCGGTGAGCCTTAGTCCGTTTTCGGACATTTCGTCGCGGAGGCTAAATTTTTCGACGGTTTTAAAATCGCCAAGCACGAATATGGTATCGTGGCGGGGCCACCGCTTATATGTGTGCTGCAAGCGCTGTGCTCTTTGGTCGGGACGTATGCGCAGATGAGTAATATGTTGAAGAAACAGACTTTGATATGGATTTTGTCTAGACGCTGTTCCATCGGGCTGATCAACAGTACTCGGCGTCTGGAGTTTCTCTCCTAACATAAATTCAACACCAAATTTGCGCTTTACGTGGCAGCTGTTGTAGACATCGCTAGGCCATATGTATTTAACGTGTTTCAACTTAGCGTGACACTTTTCGAAATTGAAATAGTTAACTATAGAATTAATGGTAGTTTTTTTGTTGTGAATTTGTTATTTAAAGAAATAGATAGAAATTATATAACTTTATACTACAAGCTTTTTACTAATAGCTGCCCTTCCCTGTGGTTGGGTTGGCATATGGAAAAAGTGGAGAAACAACAATTTATAAGGCAAACTTAGCACAGTGTGTAGACCACTGGCTTTGGAAGCTGGGGTCATTGGATCGAATCCCAGTGAAGAAGTCTTATGAGCAGATGTGGTGATCTCCTAGATAGCAGCTATAACTTCCATTTATAAATTGTTGTTATTTTTCCATAATAATTTTCCGTTAAAAGCGTCCTCAAGTTCAAAAAAATGGTACATATGTACATAATTTTTTTTTCCCATATTTTTTATGTTTTTTGTTGACCTGTGTAGTTATAACTATTTGGTGTTATTAGTTAAAATTTTATATGCATGTAGTGCAGCGGTGGCCAAAGCCTATGCACGAGTGTATAAGTTTTTTCGAGATTTCTCACCGACAGCCTCACACCGACAGTAAAAAGCTGTGTTTTCGTATTCTCCAGCAAAAAATATCCAGTAACTTGCCAGTAACTTGCCAGTAACCAAATTTCGGAGAGTAAGTCAATATTTACTCNTTTCTTGCAAGTTTTTGCATACGAAAACGACATCCAGTAAAAAAACCAGTAAAATTAGTACTGGATTTACTGGATAGTGCGTACGCGAACAGGGCTAAAAGCTTTATTGCACAGCAAGAACAATTTTTTTTTGCTTTGTTTGCCAGCAGCGTTGCCGAATTGACGATTTCGTCGTCATTTTGAGGTTTTTTAGCTCAACGAGGTTTTGACGATTTGTCCCACCGAAATTACGATTTTTTTATTTTAGTACATATGTATGTATGAACAAAAATTGTTAAAGGAAAACGTAATCCAAAATACAACCGTGCATTTATCTAGTCTTGTTCTACAACCGTGCTTTTAATAATAATAATAGATTGGCGCTTACACATATGTTAGTGTTTGGCCGAGCTTCTCCTCCGATTTGTGGCGTGCGCCTTGAAGTTGTCACACAAAGCGGAGGGACCTACAGTTTTACGCCGACTTCGAACGGCGATTGTATTTTTATGAGAAGCTGTTTTTCATTGCAGAAATACACTCGGAGGTTAGCCATTGCCTGCCGAGGGACGACCGCAGTTAAGAAAAAACCTTTTTTCTATATTTTTTGCGATGTTGCTTTGACCAGGGCTTGAACCCAGGCGTTGCGGAGTGGAAGCGCGCACTGCTTACCACTACACCACAGCGGCCGACCGTGCTTTTAGGTATATTTAATTTTCACTGCTGACACTCATTTGAAAGAGAAAGCAAAATAGGGCAGAGAATTTTTCAATTAAGATAATCTATCAGTTAACAAATGCTCCCGTTACACTTTGAAACTAGATGAAAATCTTTAAAGAAACCTCAAACAAGTGGAATTAGAAGCAGTTTTTATTCATAAGGCCCAATGTGATACAAAAAAGTCGATTTCATTTTTAAGTACAGGTCACAATAGAAAAGATAAGCAACTAGTTCCTTTTAAGTGTGAAATTAAATACGTATACCTTTAAGATAACTTATGGATTGTTTGAGTGCGTTCACTTTTAAATGTTTTTTTTTTAATTTTTTAAAATGACATCTTTCAAAAAGATTATAAAATATGTGTTATTTTCAATACGAATTATTTTTATTAATATTAAAAAAAATATTAAATTATTTCATATTTTTACTTTAAAAACATATGAAATATGTTTAAGCTCATTTTCTACACAAATTTAAGGTTTTAGAAAGACAGAATTTGTACTTTTTTTCAAAGTAGCCTCATAGGCGAACTTTAGTATTAAAGGAATAATAAAAAGGTTAGTATTCTAGGGTTAAGCAAAGCAAACTGCGCGACCATTCTTAACCTTTGTGTTACGTTTGCAGATTTTTTTTGGGTGTATCGATGAGCTTCTGTGCTTTCAACACATGCTCAAAATGTGATTGTGTAAGTGTGGCCGACACTGATGTACCCAGTAGAAATCGGTTGTATGCATTCTTGAAGGATGCTTGCTATATGAGTGAATTAGTGTTAACAATTCATGCGTAGTCATAAATTTCCACGAATAAATTCAAATTCTAGCGAATTGCAAGCGAATGTACACTTCTTGATAAATTTGAAGTGGAATTTTTGTAATATTTTCAGTCTTGTACAAAAATTTTAGTGAAGGGACGTGTTGTGCGATACTATTTTCAGCACAAACGGGCTTTTACAATATATGCATTTGCATATGAAAGTGCTACTTTTTTGTATGTTCCCGTATATTAAAATATATCAGAGAAGTAGCATTTACATATGGGGGTACATATCTTGTAAGAAGGCTTTAATACTGTTCCATTAATGCATTTTTGTATGTTTGAAACATTAATACAGCCATATGCATACAGCAGTAGTACAAGTGTATGATTAAGGTACGCATACGCTCTGAGAAACCACGCGTGTTAAATGGAAATGAAGGTTCATTTATACTGGCATGTATACACAGCAGCAAGCTCATGCCACCAACAGCGATGTTGTATGCTTAAGATTTCTACTGGGTAGTGAAATCTATCTACATATTCGGCCCTATCATGGTTGTTGACGTCGATAAAATTTTTGAATAAAAAAATAGCCCTCGTAAAAGCTCAGTTTGTCTAGACTTAAGTTAATTTAACTTACCGTAAGAAATCATCAACGATTACTCAACACGTCAACAGCCAGAAGCGGAAAAATTTTATTT